ATACAGACATTATATATAAGTATCTACATATTCTGTTCATCATAACTGTTCACTTAAGCTGGTATTGTGCCCACCTCTACCCAACATGATAAATCATGCAGATGTCGCCACCTCCCTCCCAAAATTGCTTCTCCCCACACTCCTTTTGCTGTTATTACACTATGAAATACACGTTATATATAAGTATCTACATTTGTGTTCACCATAATGAATCACTAAGTTGGTATGCTGATTGGCAATGGCAGCCAGTGGCAGTGGCAGTGGCAGCCCACCACTGGCTGTCACTCCCTCCCTCACCTCACCTGACACACCACCCTTCTCCTCCCACTCTACTGTTTTTGCTTTCATTTACTGTATACAGACATTATACATAAGTATCTGCATGTTTTGTTCACCATAGCAAACAACTAAGCTGGTATAGTGAGTCCAGACAGTAAAAGGTGGTCACACACAGTCAGCAGACAACGCTACCTCCCTCCCCACCAAGATTACTTATAGAAGAAGAACGAAATCTGATTATGTATATTGGTTCTACAAGGTAGCCAATTCCATCAAAATATTAAATATGTACCCAACTCAACTAATGATTAATCAGCCAATTACTCCATGGGATAACTGGGATCTATCAGTTGATTTTGTAAATGCGCCCAAGAAAGATAGTGTGTACACTACATTATTAAAACAGTTAACACTGAAAAGCATCACTGAAAGTACTCAGAGTATGGGTAACGATGTGTATCAGTGCTATACCGACGGCTCTGTAGAAGAAGGTGGACGATGTACCGGATGTGCAATACAGTGGAACCTCTATTAACGAGTTTAATCCGTTCTGGCACCGAGCTCGTTACCTGGAAAACTCGTCTTTGGAAACAAATTTCCCCATTTAAAATAAAGGAAATAAATTTAATCCGTTCCACTCCCAAAAACATCCATACTTGTATGACTTTTTTTTATGTAAATATAATACTGCACATGTAAATATAAATGTTTTGTTGTAGTGTTTTAATATTTACTTTACCTTATGAAGAGTAGTTGCTGGCTTGAGGGAGACGATGGAGAGGTGGGAAGGAGGAGAGGGGTTATGGTGTGGAAGGAGAATCCACCTCTGAGTCAGGCGCTCTCTCTCTTCTTGGGAATTTCACCCAAATTTCATTTCAAATGTCACACAAGGATGCGTTAGACCAGCACCAAATAAAAAACTACGTTGATTATACTCGTTGTGTCAACAATATAATAGTCTTACCACGAAGATACAATACAATGCCGTTTTCTCAAATAGGCAATGTGGTTATTAAAGAAAACGGAAATTTCATGGCAAACATGTATACAATCCCCAAGTCGATCGGATAAGAATTGGATTTTAAAGAAATATTTGCTCAAATGACGCTTGAGCACAATGTTTGGGTGCATTCAAGATAAAAAAAGTGTGTTACGTTCAAGCGACATATACCTGCGAAAGTGATAACACTTTCATAAAGTGTTATCACAAAGTGATAAATTAATTAAACATTTTCACACACTGGGTTGTCACTGCTTTATCAGGGCAGCTTTTCCAAGAATGCGTTCACCTTTTCAAACATTCCAAACACTTCCCTGATCTCAGTGGAAGAGGCAGCATCCTCCCTTACCTCCTCATTCCCTTACTAATGGTGTAAATTGTTGATGAGGACCTGCCATACTTCCTTGTGAGATCAATCACACAGACACCACACTCATGCTTTGCTATAATTTCCTTCTTGAAATCCATAATAATTGTCTTTCTTCCTCTTGAAAACACTATCTTTAGCAAGCAGCTTCTTTGGAGGCATCGTGTGTTACAAATTGTAGTCGCAAAACCACTAAAAACCCAAAGAAAAGCTCAAATAAATCCAGAGGGATGCTTGTCGTGTGAGATACAACAACAACACTGGCGTCGGAGGCGTCCGAGAATTTGCGAGAACCCGCGAGACGCTAGGAAGCGCCATGTGGTTTCACTCGTTAATAGAGGCGAGCTCGTCAATAGAGACAAATTTGCTGCGAGTGGCTTGCTCGTTACTGGAAAAACTCGTTAATAGAGCCACTCGTTAATAGAGGTTCCACTGTAAGTTACTATATGAGTACTGGAACACTTGATGATATATTAGACTTGTATCCAAGATTGACCATGTAATATATCAATCATACAATATATATATATATATATATATGATGTAACTATATAACCTGAGCTTGTAAAAGCACCTTCATCACCTTCAGTGATTAAGTGCTTAATTGCACATTAGTTTCTTTATCAGCTACCTCACCCTGTCAGAGTAAATTAGACAAATGTATGTGAATGCATGTGTGTGTGTGTATATATGTATGTATATGTGTGTGTGTGTGTGTGTGTGTTTATGTATATGTATGGGTATAAAGTATACAGAGCACCACTTGGTTTCCGAACCCCTTGGGGACGAGACCCGTCGGTTAACATGTAAGTTCGTATATGAGAAATAGAGGGGAAAAAATAAACTAGAAATGTAAAAAGAAATTTCTCCGAAAAATTTATGAAAAAAAACTCTAGGGAAAAAAATCGTCAGGTTCATGGCGTAAATGCGACCGTGTTTTGTTTGTACTCATCAATAAGTGAAGTCCTGATCCGCTTTATAAAAGTCCTTAATTGTTCCTAACTGATTATTAAGACGTCTGGCAAACATCCTCTGGATGTTTCCTGCCAGCCTGCAGGCACATCCTGCCTAAAATATACGATGATGTACTGTACATTTAAGAAACAAATCTGAGTCACAGGTCTGTGGAGTGTGGTTAGGCTTACGGAGTCAGCTGGTCCCTCCCCCACCACCGACACACCTCCCCCTCTCCCCCGACACACCTCCCCCACCCCAAACCCATACACACACACACACACTCTCAAAGGTCACGTGGTTCACGGTTCACTTCAACACCCATACAGTATATCGCTTCCTGCCTGCCTGCCTCCTTCCCAGCCTGCCTCCTTCCCAGCCTGCCTCCTTCCCAGCCTGCCTCCTTCCCAGCCTGCCTCCTTCCCAGCCTGCCTCCTTCCCAGCCTGCCTCCTTCCCAGCCTGCCTCCTTCCCAGCCTGCCTCCTTCCCAGCCTGCCTCCTTCCCAGCCTGCCTCCTTCCCAGCCTGCCAGTCTGCTTCCTTCCCAGCCTGCCTCCTTCCCAGCCTGCCTGTCTGCTTCCTTCCCAGCCTTCCTCCTTCCCAGCCTGCCTCCTTCCCAGCCTGCCAGTCTGCTTCCTTCCCAGCCTGCCTCCTTCCCAGCCTGCCAGCCTGCTTCCTTCCCAGCCTGCCTCCTTCCCAGCCTGCCTCCTTCCCAGCCTGCCTCCTTCCCAGCCTGCCTCCTTCCCAGCCTGCCAGCCTGCCTCCTTCCCAGCCTGCCAGCCTGCCTCCTTCCCAGCCTGCCAGCCTGCCTCCTTCCCAGCCTGCCAGCCTGCCTCCTTCCCAGCCTGCCAGCCTGCCTCCTTTCCAGCCAGCCTGCCTCCCTCCCTGCCATCATGCTAACGGGTAGTGTGTGTTAGGCTTATCTTCGGGAATGAGCCGGTCTCACCCCCACCACCAACAAACCACCCGCCCCCCTACATCCCATCTCTCAAGGTCACGCGGTTCAACCGCGTGACTACCACTCACTCCCTGCCTGCAAGCTAGCCTGCCTGCCTGCCTGTGCCTGCCAGCCTGCCTTTCCCTCCCTAATTCTCACTACTTCCATCCCTTCCTGCCTACCTCCTAGCATCTCTCCCTACCTCCCCCTCCCTCTTAGCATCTCTCCCTACCTCCTAACATCTCTCCCTACCTCCCCCTCCCTCCTAGCATCTCTCTCCCCCCCTCTCTCACTGATTCTCCCCCCCCCCCTCATTCATACTGCCATCCACCTAAGCTCCATCGTCCATCCACCCACCAGTCAGCCATCACTGACGCAATGCGTGCATTTGGAGCCAACATGGTGCACAGATGTTTCTTGATTGTGCAGATATGTAAAACAAAAGCACAGAATGAACATTCCAGCCTTATGGCAATTCAAAATAATAGGAATAATAGGCCGTGAATCTGTGAAGTCACAGTGGGCAAACTGGACCATTGCCCACCCACCACCACAAGCCGGCGTGACGCTTGGCGGACCCCTTCCTACCCGAACTTTGTTCGGGTAGCATGACTCCCCAACCCCAATCGGGAAACTGGAAGTTTCGGATAACTAAAGTTCGGAAACCAAGTGGTGCTCTGTATATGGAAGCTGATCAGAATTACATTTCACCTTTGTGAATGTACAGTACATTAATGACACTATGTAAAAGACACATCTAACACTTTATGTAGGGCATACGTAAATCTGTGTATCTATGTATTTACGTATGTAGGTTAGCTTAGCATTTTAAAAGCACCGAATCACCTTCTGTGGTTGAGTGTTCAATAAACCCTTGAACTATATGTTTAACACTTCTCTAACCCTGTCCATGGAGGACAGAAGAAAATGTATATATGCTAGTTAGCAGTGTAAATGTGTGGCCACGTCTGTGGTAGAAAATAATAAAATAAAATAAAAAAAAAAAAAAAAAAATAAAAAAAAAATAGAGCACTAATTATAACAGCAATCCTGCTATTATCAGAATCCTGGTCATTTTTATCACAGTCAGGGGTCTTCTGTAATACTATCATCGCTAAATGATACCATGTACTGTACATATATATTATGGCATTTTTAGGCGATGCTGTAGTCACAAGCTGAACAGCAGTGCTGTGAGCTCATGCTACGTGCACCAGCCTTGGTGGCTCACTCAGTACTGAGGACCTCACACCCGGGAATGTGGCCCACGATTTTTATTTTAAATGGCGTCTGTTTACAAGAGCCCTGATGAAGGTGAGGTGAACCCTGAACCCCATGTATCCGAGAGCCATTTAAATCTTGCGTAGTACTCTAACATATGACGTGATGCGTCTTAGAGCTGCCAAATGTGGTATATACAAAGATTAACAAAGACATTGTATTGTAACTGCATTGTAACCTTGCCTTTTTTATAGCAGAAAAGAGAGGGATGAAAAGATCTGTGTCATAGTTGGATGCTTTGTTGTTCAAGACAGCTGTTACCCTCTCCAGACCCATGCCAGTGTCAACATAATGAGTGCCAAGATTCTGTAGGCTGCAGTCCTTTAACCTGTGATGACAATGTGCACTGATTCTAGAGCATAGTGTTTAATATGAATGCATATTTCAAAACATATTATTTTAATATCATTATTGACACCATCTATGAATATAATACCATTTATGAATTTAATGTCCATTACATAAATGTAATGAAATGCCAATTTCTGGGTGAACTCCGTAGGCTCCCTGATCAACCTGTCCTCTTACAAATTACGTCATTTTTCGCCTGTATGTGCAACAACCAAATATCGACGTAAAGTGACACCTCGACCTATGATAATTTCGAGTTACAATATAAATTTTATCAGAAAATGCGACTCGACTTACGATAATGTCGTCGACTAACGATATTCATTGATACACGTTTGGGTCGACCAAGCGCATGGTTCCTGGTCACACGGGCAGACCTGTCTCAGTTTACCACAGCTGCCCACTTAGTAATGATCACGCTTGTAAGAAATTCCATTATCTTGGTGATTTTTTGTTTTTTTGAACATAAAAGTAATTATTATACAGGGGTACCTCGGTTTACGAATTTACTCCGTTCCTGGAAACAGTTCGTAACCCAAAAATTCGTAAACCGAAGTGAATTTCCCCATAAGAAATACAGTAATGGGAAATGAATTAATCCATTCCTGACTCCCCCAAAAATTAACTTCAAGTAAATTTTATACCTAATTCACCCAAATCTTTACTACAAAAGTATGTACAAGTTATTACTTACCTTTACTGATGACTCCTGTTGACGTATGGAAGACGGTGAGGAGGGGGAAGGAGGAGAGGTGTTACTGTTTGGAAGGGGAGTCCCCTTCCATTATAACATCAGGCTGTGAGGTCTTCTCTGAGGTACACTCTCTGGCATGTTTTGCCTGCATACCACTAGGACCTGCTTCTAGCTCACTGCATAATTTTCTCATTGTTTTTCTTGAAGATTGATTTTCCCTTCTTTGTAACATTTGTCTGTAGTGAGATATCACATTGTCATTAACCCTTTAACTGCGCAACGCGCCTGCAGGCCCAGGCTTCGGGTGCACAACGCGCCTCCAGGTGTTTTTATTTTTCACGTTCCATTCAAAACTCCCGGGGATACATGGGGTTCACATCAGCTTCCTCAGGGCTCTTGTAAACAGACGCCATCTTTAAAAAAAATCATGGTCCACATTGCCGGGTGTCAGAGCCTCAGTAGTGAGTGAGCAACCAAGGCTGGCGCTCGCAGCATGAGCGCACAGCTCTGCTGTTCAGCGTGTGACCACAGCATCGCCTAATAATGTCAAAATATATATATAACCTGTATTATTTAGCCGTGATAGTATTATAGAAGAGCCTGAGTGGGATAATGACTGGGTACAATGTTCAAATATCAGTGATTCAATGCTGTTCACGATGTTCACAGCGCTAGCCACAGCACCACAGCATTATTTCGTCCATCTAGGAATCTTCAAATGACTTCTTAGGTTCCTTTTCAAAATAAACTTGTGGTCAATTATTCATTTACAGAAATTAGTGACCAGGATTGGCCCATACGAGGCAGCTGCTATTGGCCCATATGAGGCAGCTGCTATTGGCCCATACGAGGCAGCTGCTATTGACCCATACGAGGCAGCTGCTATTGGCCCATACGAGGTAGCTCCTATTGCACCATAGGAGGCAGCTGCTATTGGCCCATACGAGGCAGCTGCTATTGACACATACGAGGCAGCTGCTAGTGGCCCATACGAGGCAGCTGCTAGTGGCCCATACGAGGCAGCTGCTATTGCCCCATACGAGGCAGCTGCTATTGGCCCATACGAGGCAGCTGCTATTGGCCCATACGAGCCATTTTGGTGAGAGATGTGACGTCGTAATTGTAGCGTCGTCTGCTGTCTGCTGTGTGATTTCTCATGCAGTGTATGATGGCCACTGTATTGTTTGGACACAATACCGGCTTACTTGCATAGTTCTAGTAAATAAAACATGTAGATAAGTATATATAACATGTGTAAATAGTGTAATAAAAACAATGTCAACCATATTTAATAAATCAGTAGAGTCAGGCAGAGTGCCAGAGTTTTGGAAAGTTGCTAATGTGATACCAGTTTTTAAGAAAGGAGATAGATCACTTGCGTCTAACTATCGACCAATTAGCCTAACGTCTATTGTGGGAAAGTTACTCGAATCTATAATAGCAAATAAAATTCGTCTTCATCTTGAAAAGCATAAATTAATAATTGAGTCGCAACATGGTTTTATAAATGGCCGTTCATGTTTAACAAATTTGTTATCTTTTTATTCTAGCATTGTTGAGGCAGTTGATAGTGGTAAGGATTGCGATGTTGTATACCTTGACTTTAGCAAAGCTTTTGATACAGTGCCACATGAAAGACTGATTAAAAAAATAGAGTCTCATGGTATTGGGGGTGCTATATTAAGCTGGATTAGGGCATGGCTATACCAAAGGAAACAGAGAGTTAGTATAAATGGAATCAAGTCAGAGTGGGAAAATGTTGTAAGTGGAGTGCCTCAAGGCTCTGTCCTGGGACCTCTGTTGTTTATAATATATATAAATGATTTAGATTCAGGTTTGAGTAGCAACATTTGCAAATTTGCCGATGATACGAAAATCGGTAGGGAAATTAATTCGGAGGAGGACTCACTATCACTTCAAGTTGATCTAGATAGGGTTTTGAAATGGTCAAAGGATTGGCAGATGCAGTTTAATGCTGATAAATGTAAAGTTCTGAGGTTAGGTAATGATGATAGAGTTACAAGATACGAGCTAGATGGTGTTGTGATTGCGAAGTCGGATTGCGAAAGGGATCTGGGAGTTATGATTAGTAAGAATTTAAAACAAAAGGATCAATGCATAAATGTTCGTAATAAGGCAAATCGGACACTTGGATTTATTAATCGCAGCGTTAGTAACAAGACACCTGGTGTGGTTCTCAAGCTATATCTTGCTCTAGTTAGGCCCCATTTAGATTATGCAGTTCAGTTTTGGTCGCCATATTATAGAATGGATATAAATTCACTTGAACGTGTCCAGCGTAGGATGACTAAGTTAATTCCCCAAATTAGAAATCTTTCATATGAAGGAAGATTAACAAAGCTTAAGTTGCATTCACTGGAAAGGCGAAGAGTTAGGGGTGACATGATAGAGGTTTACAAGTGGATGAATGGACATAACCGGGGGGATATTAATAGGGTATTAAAAGTATCAACACAGGACAGAACACGAAACAATGGATATAAATTGGATAAGTTTAGATTTAGGAAAGACTTGGGTAAATACTGGTTCAGTAACAGGGTTGTTGATTTGTGGAACCAGTTGCCGCGTGGCGTTGTGGAGGTGGGGTCCCTCGATTGTTTCAAGCACGGGTTGGACAAGTATATGAGTGGGATTGGGTGGTTATAGAATAGGAGCTGCCTCGTATGGGCCAATAGGCCTTCTGCAGTTACCTTTGTTCTTATGTTCTTATGTTCTTATGCATTCACTGGAAAGGCGAAGAGTTAGGGGTGACATGATAGAGGTTTACAAGTGGATGAATGGACATAACCGGGGGGATATTAATAGGGTATTAAAAGTATCAACACAGGACAGAACACGAAACAATGGGTATAAATTGGATAAGTTTAGATTTAGGAAAGACTTGGGTAAATACTGGTTCAGTAACAGGGTTGTTGATTTGTGGAACCAATTGCCGCGTAACATTGTGGAGGTGGGGTCCCTCGATTGTTTCAAGCACGGGTTGGACAAGTATATGAGTGGGATTGGGTGGTTATAGAATAGGAGCTGCCTCGTATGGGCCAATAGGCCTTCTGCAGTTACCTTTGTTCTTATGTTCTTATGTTCTTAATGACAGTATGGTGGGTGGAGCAATGTTGGCGAGTAAGACGTTGGAGTGAGGGAGGGCCTGTGTGGGTGTGGCTGCTCACACTCGCGATGTTCTGAATGTGTTGATGGTAAATGTATATAGTGTGTGACAGTGTATAGTGTGTACATATGTTGTAAATATATATAAATGAACATGAAACATTGGTGTGAATAACTGTATGATGGGTGGGGCAATGTTGGAGAAGTGAGGGAGGGCTGGCTGGGTGTGGCTGCTCACACTCGCGGTGTTCTGAATGTGTTGATGGTGAATGTATATAGTGTGTGACAGTGTATAGTCTGTAAATAGATTGTATATACAGTATACATAAATTAGCATGATACATGGTAAATATGTGCAAGATATGTGTACACAAGTGTCATGCACGTAACAGTGTTCTTGGACAATACGAATGTTTTACTACCATAATGTAGTGTACGTGTTCATTATACATAGGATTAGCCTGTAAAAACAAATAAAATGTATTTGGAACTGTGTGCAAAAAATGAACAAAAATATATTCGCGGCAACACGCGCGCCCCGCCCCGGGCGCCCCACCGGCCCCGAGAGCATACTGCTCTGGCGCACAGGGAATGATGACGTCACGCCCCACCTTTCGGACCCCATAGCAGCCAAAGTAAGTACAATTTCGAACTTCTGTTGCTATACCCATATACAGGGAGGGGTTTTTGACACTTTCAGAAGAAAAAAGAATTTTTTTCCTGAGGTTTCATTTCCTGCGCACTGGGGGAATGTCATATTTATAGGCCGTGCAGTTAAAGGGTTAATAAGATCAATACAATGGCCAGCAATAGTTTTATCTGGGTGATTCTTTTCAGCAAACCTTTGCAGTTTTTCTCATACTGCACACATTTTCTTAATTAATTAATGAGGAAAGGACATCATCTACTGCCTACTCCTCCTTCCCCTGAAGATTTGTTACACTGCCTAGCTAGCTCAACAACACGTGTACCATTTTCATGTTTAGGAATGATCTCTTGTTTTTCCTCTATGGTCATTCTCACATGTATTTTCTTGCCTTGAACCTTACCACTGGCTTTCTTGGGACCCATGGCGAGATATATAATAACAACTTTTATATTCAAATAGCCAAAAATAAAAAAATAAAAACTGTACAGTAAATCCTTGCAAAGAATTCAGGCGGAATAGTCACACTAGGCGGGATAGTCACACTAGGCGGGATAGTCACACTAGGCGGGATAGTCACACTAGGCGGGATAGTCACACTAGGCGGGAGACACTGGGAAACTGATACGCGATCGTTGTGCCACCATGTGCTAGGTCGGCCATACGCGTATCAACAAACTCGTATCCCAAGGTAAAGTTCGTAACTCGATTCAAATTTTCCGAAGAAATTAGGCTCGTAACCCAAAAAGTATGTAAAGGGCGCATTCGTAAACCGAGGTACCACTGTATATCACGCCATGGGGTCCCAAGAAAGTCAGTGGTAAGGTTCAACCTAAGAAAACACATGTGAGGAAGACCACAGAGGAAAAACAAGAGATCATTTGTAAACATGAAGATGGTATGAGGGTTGTTGATGTAGAAGATGTTCCTTCCTCATTTATTATGAAAATGTGTGCAGCATGGGAAGAACTGCAAACTTTTGCTGAGATGACTCACCCAAATCAAGCTTCAGTAGGACGTTGCCTTAACCCTTTAACTGCGCGGCCTATAAATTTAACACCAGTGCGCAAGAAATAAATTCTTGGGAAAAAATTCTTTTTAGTTCTGAAAGTGTCAAAAACCCCTCCATGTATATGAGTATAGCACCGGAATTTCGAAATTGTACTTACTACATTTGGGTCTTTTGGTAGGTTAGGAGGGCAGGAAGTTCTCCTAGGGTTTCAAAACATAATGAAAACTGTTAATTAAATGTTTCCTCTCCTAACTTAACAGCCTAAGCCAGAGGACCCAAAAGAGGAAATGGGACAGTATGTAACTTTCGTTAGCCGATTTCATTTTGAATAATGTCAACTTTTAGCCTGAGTGCGCATACGAGCGAAAAGCAACGTAATTTGCGAGAGGACGGGCTACCCTGATCCCCTCCCTCCCTTCTAGGTCATCAGTTGGTTGCCTACATTGTATACATTGAGGAAGTTCTCTAGGTAGATTTTGAGGCCTTGGTCTCTTTTGAAGCCAGTAGTGGTTTGTTTTGACTCACTGTTTGGTTGCCTTCCCGGTGAAGTGGCAAAGATAAGTATCACCGCTACCTGTACCTCTGTGAGGGGGAATGGGTGGGGGGAGGGGGAGGTTCTGGTGCTGGTCACCAGTAGGACTATACAACTCTATGGCTGATATGACCTCAGCATAGTAGTTTCAAGGAGCCACAAGAGTCTTCCCTAGAAATTCCCGATATTACATTGATATCACATTGACTAATATTTCTTAAAATTTTAGTTATTATTTTTAACTTTTTATTTTTCTTCTAGCAAATACCAATACAGAATCTGAATTTACCTAGGGGCTACCATCTCTCTAGTGGCTTTTATCGGGTTAGGCCTAAAAAAAAATTTATTTTTTACCTGTACTGTATATTACAATATGGTATTTTTTACAGTGGAAGAATACATTTAAGAATAATGCTTCTCTAACTCAAAGTTATCTCAATTACAAATCTAGCTTTGCAGTCAGTTGCACTGCTAATTAATCTGGAGAGAAAATACAACAATATTACTGTAAAAAAAATTCATGCAGAGCTTTTAATAGCTAGTATGAACTATAAAACAACAAAATTCATATTTAAATTAAAAATATAGTACAACTTAACTTTCATACTGAATAAAAACTATATTCCACAACTCTATTAGATCCTCCACTCCAAGGTTGACTCTGTCTGAGGCAAACGAACGTCCAAGGCGGTCGTAATGAATTTCAGTACAAGGACCACATGGACCAAACATGCCCATCTCCCAAAAATTGTCTTTCATTCCAAATGGAAGAATTCTGTTGTAAGGAACTCTGAAAAAATATTATCTTTCTTAATTATTATACAGATATTATACTTAACATTAATTTAATACAGTTTAGTAGTTAATACTATACACTAACTAAACAAAGCTGCAGAAAAAAAAAGAAAATTTACTTCCACAGAGTGGTAGATGGTTGGAACAAGTTAGATGAGAAAGTGGTGGAAGCCAACACTGTCAGTAGTTTCAAAGCATTATATGACGAAGAGTGCTGGGAAGGCGGGACACCATGAGCATAGCCCTCATCCTGTAACTACACTTATACTGTTCACTACTCACTTTTCCCCTTCAAAGCAGGAGATTGCTGAAATAGAGGCAAGAAAGAGTACATATATGGCATGCATAGGCATGATAAAGTACCTAAGCTATTGGGGTTGTCTTAACCCATAAACTGTGTAAAACTGCATTTGCAGTTTTGAGTAACTGACGCAAAAGTATGCAACACTCCATATGCAGTTTTGGAGTACTATGCAAGATTTAAACGGCCCGCGGATACACGGGGTTCACATCACCTTCCTCAGGGCTCATGTAAACAGACGCCATTTTTAAAAAATATCGAGGGCGACATTCCCAGGTGTGAAGGCCTCAGTATTGAGTGAGCCACCAAGGCTGGCGCACGCAGCATGAGCTCACAGTATTCTGTTCAGCTTGTGACCACAACATCGCCTAAAAATGCCATAAATATATGTAACTGGTATTACTGTATTTAGCGATGATAGTACTACAGAAGACTCCTGACTGTGATATGAATGACCAGGATTTTGATAATAGCAGGATTGTTGTGATAATTTGCGCTGTGCTGTGGATGGAGTAATGTTGAGGGTGGGAGTGCGGTAGCGTCGTCTGCCGAATCTGTGGCCACCTGTTGCTGTCTGCACTTACTATACCAGCTTAGTGGTTTGCTATGGTGAACAAAACATGCAGATACTTATATATGTTTGTATATAATGAATAAAAGCAAAAACAGTATGGTGGGAGGAGGATGTTGGTGAGTGAGGAGTTTTTGAGGGAGGGAGTGATAGCGAGAGGCTGGCTGGCCACTCCTCGTTGCTTTTTGACTCACAATATCAACTTAGTGGTTCGTTATGGTGAAGAAAACATGTAGATACTTATATATAACCTGTGTATATAGTGTAATAACTGCAAGAATATTTGTTTATTGTTTTATGAACATAATAATTAAATCAATAATATGCACACCATAATTTTGAGTACAGTGATGATTCACACATTTTTTTATATAAATATATCATACAACACACTATTGAATAATATTACTGCAAAAAAAATAAGAACAAATCAATCAGAGACATTGAAATAAATTAGGTAATTATATCTTTGTGGCAACACCCGCCTGACAGCTGTGGCGGAGCAGACCACTTCCGACGCTTGCTGAGTCAGCGCCTCTATTTTGCCACACTTCCCCCACCCTATTGTGGCCAAAATATGCCACTTATGATTTTTTAAATATTTTTCCCGTGATCAGGGAACACAAATTAACAGGTTTATATGAACCAAAAAAAATTTAGATTTTTTTTTTTATGCGCCTGTGGGTGTGAAAGGTCAAATAGCCCTTAGCAGCTTGGAGGTTAAAACTCTCAAAATGTACTCTCTAGAAAGGAGATAAGAGAGATATCAAATAATATATACAGTACTGTACATAGAAAATTTATATATTAATGGAAATGTAGAATAGAGCCAGTGAAGTGCAGAGGTGCCATAGGCACAATCAGAGAACACTGTATAAACATCAGAGATCCACTGTTGTTCAACATCTTCCCAGCACTCCCAAGAAATATTGCCAGAACAAAAGTGAAAGTGTTCAATAAAAACTGGTCGATTTTGTGCAAGAAATGCCAGACCAATCAGGCTGTAGTGGATATGTTGGCCTGCAGGCTCCTCCAAGAAACAGCCTGTTGGACCAAGCTTTCACAAGTCAAGTCTGGCCCTGGGCCAGGCTTGTTGACTAGAAGACCTGCAAAACCTGACCCCAAGAATGGGAGAATGACTGACCAACTCCACCACAGGCCAAGAGTGACAACCCGAAGAGCACACAAATCCTGGAACCAGGAGCTAGCAAAATGAGACCCACAGCGGTGTCAAATGGGTGACCTGCAAAAGAGCCAGCGCAGACCATGAGTGGAACCATCCTTCTGCCATGCATAGTTACAACTTCAAGCAGAGGAGGAACTTGGATCAGGAAGCACAATAACCTGGAAATCAGACCCATTATAAATTTCTGTCCTACCTCGACGTACAGCAGAAGTCCCCACCATACCTAACAGCCTCCCAGTGGAAGCAGAATACAAAGAAAACAACACATGATCAAAGGGGCAACAAGAGAAAGCAGCTGTTAACAAAACCTGTGGAACAACATCCTCAAGAAAGAGGAGTAGTGGAAAAGGGAAAGCAGACAAAAAGGTAAGAGACCAAGCTGAATCTATTGAACAGGCTAACACAGCCTGTCAGCTCACAAGGCAGGCAGAAAAAAATGACATATTCAAAAGAGGCTGGCTCAATCTAATAAAAGAGGTCCAAGTTCTGCAGGAGGAAGCAAAGCAAGCAAAACCACCATGGAAGCAATGTGGGGAAAACAGAAACCTCGAAAAATGAGATGAGTCCGAGGCATCAAAGAGACCAGGAACCAAACCCAAGAGGAAGCAGCAAAGCAATCAAACTCATACATAGAAGGTGGATAAGAAAAATTATCCTTCTAAAACAAAGGCCCCATGCAGAGTGGACCAAACTACATGAAGAGTTAAAGTACACCCACAGGACCTTCTTGGGCATCTCTTCAGCTCCCAGAAGCCAGCCATGACAAAACTGGGGCAAAGCCAAAGTCCTTGCCCAATGACATTGTGATAGAAAGGCATCCTTCCAAGGAGGAAGTTCAGAGCTGGGGGAGGGGGGTGGGGTAGTGAAGGTGAATGCCCCCACCATTAACGGAAATGGGACCACCTCTAGAGAAGATCGAGCTAAACCACTAACTAAACCCTGACCTAGCTCTAAAACCTTCAGATGCTTCAGAGCAGGAACCAGGGGAATGGGGAGGAGGAGACACCAGAAGTAAGGCAAACCACATTTGTGCAGGAAGGAAGAGGTGTGGACTCAGTCCAGGTGGAGCTCACCAACACCTACAATTCCAAGGCATTCAAATATTGTAAGCACAAAGTTGTGAGCACCTAACATAAGTAAACCTAGCCTGTAAAGTGGCTGCTGTCTGATAAGATTCTGTACTCAAAGCAGGTTCAGGCAGAGCTGAGACCCAATAGGAACATACTACACAGGACTTAGGGTGTTAGGTGTCACCGACCCAACAGGCAGCATGGCAAAGGCAGAGAGAGAGAGAGAGAACAATCATCGTTCAATAGCAGGGACAATTAGCATCTATCAAGCACGTAAATAGTGAGCACAGACTTGATGGACCGATCCATAATGAACCACACCAGAGACCCATGGAAGAATTGCAAGGGCCTGAAGGTAATTAGCCAAACAGGTCATCTAGGCACTGGGGCTGCTCATCAAAAGAACAGATACCATGCAGCAAAAATTTTAGGCTATGAATGGTGACTGTTTCACCTTGTATAAATAAGCACGGAAGCCCAAGTGCACCTCAGCATAACCAAAAGAATTTACCCAGCCAAGGGCCCAAACAGAGGAGTAAAGTTTCATGAACAGCACAAGGCAAGGCACTCCACCCTTGATGGCCGAGCCTCTCAGGGGCAAACTCCCTAACACACCAGAGAAGCAACTCTGTCAATGCAAGGGCAGAGCTAACAAGCACCCAGGGAAGAGGATCCTTAAAACATGCAGCTCAAAGTGCAAAGAAGCCAAGCCCACATAACAAACTGGTTGTAAAAACATGCATGTACAGCAAATACTAAATAACCGATCAAAACATAAACAGATGGCTCCCTGCACCTCTGTGAGCAAGCCAAGTTCTGGCTCGGGTCCCCAGTAGGCCAAACAGAACTCCTGCATCTGATGAGACCCATTAGAATTAAGTACTCTCAACAAGATAGCTTCAGGAAACCACCAAGGGGCTACCCCAGAAAAGGCAAAAAACTTGAACCTAATTTTGTTTTGATTACTCAGAAATTTGGGTTACTCAGCTCTTATTGTACCTGTACTGTACTTTTATCAGTAAGTTATACATAAAATAAAATTAACCTAGATGGCAGACAAAATGTAAGATATTTACCCTATAGATCTCCAAATCTCCTTCACTTCCTCATCAGCTTCAAGCCCTAGAGCATCTTCTCCTCCAAAGTACGTTACATAAAGATGATTTGAGGGCAGTTTATATACATTTGTCAATAACTCCCATGCCATGGAACAAGCCTCTTTCTGTGAAGGTGCAGTTATATTTTCATCAATACACCGGATCTTCTTCATTTATCATGTAATAAATACAGTCTATAATTCAGTTATAATGCAAAATTTATTAAAATATTTAATTGCAGTACTGTACCTTAAAATAGTCTCCAAAAGACCAACTTCCAAGCATTTCAAAAAATGTGTGATGATAAGTATCTCTGCCAACTTGAGCCAAGTCATTGTGTTTGCCACCAACACGTATGCACTTCTGACTGCTTGTGGCACGACGATGCTCCCTCTGAGTCTGGCCCAGAAATATGGGCTTGAACTGTGTTGTGGGAGAAATTGATATATTTTAGAAATGAAGTGTTCTTAATTAACTGAATACTGTGCTCACAGACTAATAAAATTCAATAACTCAAAATATTTGTTAACATTCTTACGTACAATACTATAAAGCTTTCAATTCCCTACATTTATCAGTCAATCATAAAAACCAAATATCCAGCCTACTATACCATATTATATTTGTACTGAAACAAATAAAATCTAGGGAGCTGAATAATATGAAATACTGAACAGCCACTCAGTTGTTACCTGAACCTCAGCCAAGGTCCATCTAGGGCACTGCAAAAATGTCGGGATCTTGTTGATTTTCACCCCACCATAACATAGAACTTTGTATATGTCATTGTGTATAGATTTTCTACATAAATGGAAAGGGAGGGGTGAGGGGAAGAATTCTTAGTTCACCACCACCACTGTCGCCATGTATTGATGACAAACATTCAGAAAAGCACAAGCAGTGTTTTGTGTTTGGAATAGAGGGCAGAACAGAGTAACAATGATTTCAAGTGTAGATAACAATACCAAGAAAAGACAATTAGATTATAACTTTAAAAATAAGTAAATGAAATTTGTCAGTCAGATATGGCAAAGGCAACTCATGCCCTAACAGTGTTTTCACCTAGATTAGTGTAATATAATGAAAGCACTGTGTAACCAAAAGTCTTACTGCTAGGAAAAAGAAAGGAGAAAGAGGGATGAGTATAAAATTAAATTAGGTTAAAAGTAGAAACAGAAAAATTTAATAGAAAAAAACCAGCGTTGAATGTAATGCAACGCCATTTTCTGGGCGAGTCCCGGAGGCTTCCCGGAGCTATCCCAGGTTGATATGTTAATGTCAGACTTTGGCATCAGTCATGTGTATGGAGTTCTTAGGCCTACCGGGGACCACGGCCAGAACCGGGCCTCCTCAGAGAGGCAAGGGGAGCAATGCCCTATAGAAGCCCGCGTGTGGTTGGAAGCATTCTGTGTCTGCCATCGACCGGAACAGGCACCCAGAAAGGTAAGCGCCTCAAAACAAACCCCTATTCTGGTTAAAATTGCTACCAAAAGTCGAACTAGTGGATAGAACTCCCCAACAGAAAACAAGCAAACTAGTGTGACGTCACACGCCACCGCGCCGCTGTCTGCACAGCTCCCCCCTCCCTGGGAGGGGGAAGGGGGAGCCCCAGACCCTCCACACCAGCTACCCACACCTCAGTTCTTGAGGCTGGATGTCAAAAACGCAAAAAAAAAAAAAACGCCGACCGGAGGGAGGGAGGGAGGGATGCCGGGGAGCTTCCGGGACTCACCCAGAAAATGGCGTTTTATTACATTCAACGCTAGTTTTCTGGGGGAGAGCCCCGTCGGCTCCCCGGAGCTAACTACCCACAGACGGAAAAAGAGGGACTTACCCGGGAGGCGGTCGTCGCTCACTCCTCAACTCGAAGCCGAGACAACTGGCTGCAACCGCCGACCCAAAGCAACACAGGCCCAACGGGGCCCAGGGACATTCACAAGGTAACGAGACGCCAGGACCCTGTTCGACCGCCAAAATCCCCGCGCCCGAATATCAGACCAAGACATATTCCCAAAGACGGCAGCAAGAGCCGCGAACTTACGAACGTCATGGGCACGGGGATAGACCGCAGGCTGGCTAGACTTGATAATCCTGCGGACGACCTGGGAGACCCGAACCCGCGAACAGGGAAGAAGGGAAACCGAATCAATCCACAGCGCGTCCCCGGACACAGAAGCCGTGGCGCGCAAATAACGAAGAAGCACCGCAACCGGACACAAAACATGATGCACCCCCGGCCTGACCAACCAAGCATCAACCACCCATGGACCCCTCCGGAACGCAGCAGTCTCATTCTTCGCCAGAAAAGATGGAGACGGCTGCAAGCGAACAAAGCAATCACCACAACCAAAAGAGTAGAAACCCCTGCACCGGAGGAGAGCATGAAGCTCCCCTACCCGACCCCCAGAGGCCAAAGCCAACAAGAAAAGTGCCTTGGAAAAACAATCCTGGATCGAAGGGGCCACAACGAAACGAGGAGATGAAAGGAAAGCGAGCACCCTGTCCAAAGACCAGGACGGCTCAGGCAGCACATGAGCAGGCCAGAGGTGAAACAATGCACAAGACAGCTTGCAAAACGGCGCAGACATAACATCGATACCGAAGGCAAGCTGAAGCGGCTCAGCCAGCGCCGCATGATACGAGGCGACAGTGTTAGGCATAAGATGACGGTCCTGAAACAATCACGAGAGGAAGGACAAGACCACCCGAACAGACAAGGAACTACAGTAACACGACGAAGACGCAGAAAGAAACAGAAACTTCATACTGCCATCGAGAAGAAGCCCTCAGGTGGGACACCAACAAGGAGGCCACCTGATCACCATAGAGATGATGATAGACGCGAGTCAAAAAACCCATATGCGAAGACTCGAGGAGAAGATCGAACCAGCCACGTGACGTACCGGCCCGATCTGCTGAAAGAGGCGGAGCCGCGGGAAAACCCTCGAGTTCGGACGCCGAGCAACTAGCGCCTGAAACCAAGGCTGGGCCAGCCACCAAGGGGCCAGAAGGACATCTCTCCCCTGGTAAGTCTCTAAGCGAGTCAGGACCTGGAGCAACAGCCGAACTGGGGGAAAGAGGTACAGAAACCCCCACCTCGACCAGTCTAGCCGAAAGGCGTCGACCCCGACGGCCTCGCGATCGGAGAAGGGCGCCGCACAAACGGGAAGACGCCACGACCACGTCGATGAGAAGAGGTCCACCTCGAGGTGTCCGAATGTCTGGCAAAGTCAATGCAAGGACTCGTCGTCGACCGTCCACTCCGTGGAGAGGGAAACGAAGCGAGACAAGGCAATGGCCAAGACGTTGGACACGCCCTGTACGTGAACCGCCAGGAAAGCCAGACCCCGAGAACTCAGCAGACGAGTCACCCGAAGCGACCAACCCCAAAGAGACCAACCCGTTCTCGCAAATTTAATAAGTCAATATTGACTTATTAAATATGTGCATAGGTGACATACTTAACATAATAGATACCCTTAAAAAGATTCATAGAAAACACCGACCTTACCTAACCTTGTTAGTATCTTAAGATAAGCATCTTATTGCTTCATAATTACAATTATTACCTAACCAATAATAGGTACAGGTTAAGTAATAATTGTAATTACGAAGCAATAAGATGCTTATCTTAAAATACTAACAAGGTTAGGTAAGGTCGGTGTTTTCTACGAATCTTTTTAAGGGTATCTATTATGTTTAGTATATCACCTATGCACGTAGTTAATAAGTCAATATTGACTTTACGAATTTGCGAGAACGGGTTGAAGAGACAAGGACCGCATCGAACCCCTGCGGTTCAGGCAATGAACCACTGGAGAGCAGTCCGAATGGAGCCGAATCGTCGATCCACGGGCCACCCAAATCCTCCCCAGAGCAAACCACACTGCCGCGAACTCCTGCACCGTGCTGTGAGCTCGACGGAAGGACGGATCCCAACACCCCTGGCCGGCCTGGTGAGCACTGGTCACAAAACCCCAGCCGAGAGACGACGCATCCGTGTACACATCGAGCGAGGGCTCGGGTAGGTGCCAAGGCACTAAACCCCGAAAAACCCGAAGAGGAAGCCGGTGACGCAGCAACCGACGCAAGGCCCCCGGGGGTCGAACTCTGCGATCACGAGAGAGACGGAAGGGGGGACCCCGAAGGAACCAGAACAGCCGACGAAGCCAAACCCGACCCGGCGGGTAGACCACCATCGCAAAGTTCAGGCTCCCGCACAGCCCCTCGAGCAACCGCCGGGTGACCCGAGGGCCCTCCAGAAACAGACGAAGGCAGGACGGCAGCCGCAAGAGACTCCAGAGGGAGAGACAAGGAGGCGGTTCAAGAGTCCCAAATGAGACCCAGCCAAGTCCAAACCTGAGAGGGAACCAGGTGGGACTTCCTCCAGTTCACCAAGAACCCGAACCCGGTGAGCTGGGAAAGAACCAAATCCCTGGCTAGCAAGCAAGCTGACCGGCTGGGAGCCCAAACCAGCCAGTCGTCGAGGTAGGCCAACACCCGAACACCTAGGAGACGCAAACGAGCCACCACAACCCATGTAAGGCGCGTAACCATGCGAGGTACCAGGTTCAACCCGAACGGGAGACAACGAAAGCAGTAACTCAGATGCCCCACAACAAAACCAAGCCAGTCCCTGAACCGTGGATGAATCGGGACATGCCAATAAGCGTCCCGGAGGTCCAGGGACACCATCCAAGCGCCTGGCTCCAAGAGGAGCCGAACCTGAGACAGCGTAGTCATCCGAAAGGAGGGGCAATGAACCCAGGGGTTCAGACGGGACAAGTCCAGAATGAACCGCAGGTCCGCGCAGTTCCGTTTCGGAACCGGAAACAGACGGGAAACCCATCTGAGGGACGATGTCGTTTCGACGACGCCCAAGCGTACCCACTCCAAGACGACTCGACAGAGCGCAGGGGAAGAAACCTGCCCTGCCAGCCCCAATCCCCCCAAGGGGGGAGGGGCCACCCAACGCCACCGCAGGCCGCGAGACACGACCCGAAAGGCCCACGAATCGTGGGACCAGGTGCGGGCGAACAGTGCAAGCCGCCCCCCCATCGCCCCATCAATGGGGCAAACCGCGAAAGGGCCGGCGACCCTTACGAGACCCAGAATCCCACACAGAGCGAACACCGCGCCGACCAGACGAGGTAGGGTCCGCAGGAGGAGCCAAACCCGAACCTGACACCAGAGGCCTACCACGACGAGAGGAACCCAGAGCCCTGGCACGACCCTTCCGGGAAGACCCACCCCGGGAGCCCCGGAAAACCAACAAGTCCGACATCAGACGACAAGCCGCCGACGCAGCCTGAATAAACTGCGCCACGGCCGACTCCTCAAACAGAAGAGGACAAGAAGGTGAAGAACGCCTAAGAGAGAAGAATAATCAAAGAAGCTCAAAGAAGAAGAATAATACAGTGGTAAAAAGTGTCCACAAAGTAAATATGCAGTTGGTGCCTTTATATCATTGCTGAGTAATACATAATACAAACAAATAATAATGAGTAACTATGTTATTATGCTCTATTTTGTTATACATATATCATATACTGTAAATACATTGTCCAATGTTAATATACAGTATGTTATTTTCATCAATGACCCAAAAATATTTTTTTTAGAGGAATTTTTTTTCAAGATTTTATTTTTTTCTCCTTTGTTTATTATCTGATTTTGTTGTAACCTTTACATCCTGGAGAATGCATATACTGTATTTACTTAAGTATGTGAAGAAAGAATGAAATTGGCCAACAAATAAGTCAGTTACAACTCGCAAAACTTGGGACTTAATTTTTTTTGTCTGATTTTTTCCCTGATTTCAAACTCTATTTTCTTTGTCTCTTTAGGTTGTTTTGATGATTAAGAGACCATATTAGAGCTTTTCACTTATATAGAGTATACCCTAAATATATCCCCTAAATCATTATAATTATTATAAAAATCCCTATATTTTGTTTTTTGGGGGGTTATTTTTTCTTGACTTCATTTCAACACATATTAACTTTCACATATTGGAGTACAAATGCCAAACAATGTTTATTAAAACATACAATTAAATTAACGAATGAAAACTACCTATATTCATTGTTGATAACTTCAACTTCAATTACTGTATCTCTGAAACTAGAGTTTCATCTTTGAGTGGCTTCTATAATTCCAGTTTTTGACCGATTCTCACTATTCTGACATATTGTGTGCTCAGCTGTCTGTTCTACAATCTCTTCAGAATTAATTTTTCATAAACTTTATATATTTGGAGTTATAATTTTTGTGGCATGGCTTGTGCTCACTAAACTTTGTACTCACCTATCATGGAGAAAGGTGACTGTAGCTCTCATTGAAAAGGAGACAAAAACATGGCAAATTTCATTATTCTGCAAAAAGACAACTAAAGAGCCACCACTAATTTTTACAAGAGAGATTATGTGCATATATTCCATGTATATACTTAACACTTTCGCGCTCTCGGCGCGCAAAAAAAAACAATACCCCAGATGCTTTCGGCACTTCGCGCGCCTACGCGGTAAGACCGAAAAAGTGTACACTCTTTTGACTGTCCTGACAATAATTGAAGGCGCACGTATTTAAATTTGGTATCACTGTGTTTGCAATGAAATTGTCTATAAGAGCATACCTATAAAATGCCGCCCAAGCATAAGGAGTATCAACACCAAATAAAAAACTATGCAGATCACTCGCCGAGAGCGCCAAACAGCAACAAAATGTTTCCACTCTCTTAATGGTTGCGAAGCCTACAGTTGTCCTACATCGCTAATTTTGGTATCATTGGAATCGCAATAAAATTCTCTATACGGACATATGCATATGAATGTTTAATATAGGTAATTGCCCACCCGCAAGAGTGTGTGAAGTGGAGAGTAGTTAGCCGCGAGCGCACTGGCGAAAACACAGGGGGGAAATCATGCTTGGAAAGTTTATACGTTTCCTGACCCTACTTTTCTATGTACGTATTTCTTTTTTATACCAATGTGTTCGCAATAAAATTTTCTATAAGATGAACTGTATAACATTTGTACAAAGCATATGTAAGAGAAGCGCCAAATATAGAACCACGTCGCTCAGTATGCGTTCGCGGCAGAAACGAACGCATTGTTTTCGTTCGTTTGATGTTTGTCATGTTTATACTTGTTGAAACATTTTATAATTTGTATGACAGTGATCGCAGTAAAATTCCCTACACAGACATATACATAACACATACAAATATTTCCCACGTGTTGGATATATCAACGGCTAAAGGGAACCCACTGCCACACGCTCGCCACACCCCCAAACATACTTTGTGTATTTTTTTTTACTCATAGAAGTTTATGTGATATAATATTCATTCTGGTACCAAAAAATTCGCAAATAAATTCTCTACAAAACAAAAGTATCCCCATCCATTTCGGTTAAAAAATGGAATTTATAGAAATATTTTTTCGATGGACGAGAAAAGTAGGCTGTTATGCAGAATCGTAAGAAAAAACAGCGACGAGTTATCTCTAATCTAAAGCGCGAAAGTGTTAAGTGTAATTACCTAAGTCTAGTTACATGGTGAGAGTAACGCTCGTGGTGTTCCATCTTCCCAGTACTCTCTTGGCATGTAACACTTTGAAACTACTGATAGTTTTGGCCTCTACCACCTTCTCACCTAACTTGTTCCAACTGTCTACTACTGTTTGTGAAAGTGAATTTTCTTATATTTTTTCGGCAGCTTTGTTTAATTAGCTTAAATCTATGACCTCTTGTTCTTGAAGTTCCAGGTCTCGGGAATTCTTCCTCATCAATTTTTTTAATTCCCGTTACTATTTTGTACGTAGTGATCATATCACCTCTTTTTCTTCTATCTTCTAGTTTTGGCATATTTAATACCTCTAATTTCTCCTTGTAGTTCGTCTTTCAATTCAGGAAGCCATTTAGTCGCATGTCTTTGCACCTTTTCCAGTTTGTTGATGTGCTTCTTGAGATATGGGCACCATACAACCACTGCATATTCCAGCTGTGGTCTAACAAAGGCCTTGAACAATTTCTTTAGTATTTCATCATCTATGTATTCAAGAGCAATTCTGAAATTGGATAGGCTTCTCACACAATGTTGTTTATGTGGTCCTCAGGTGACAGTTTTCTATTTAGAATCTATTAGTTTTATTCATACAGTATTTAGAATTCATATATCGGTATGTATAAAAAGAGCAAAACACCAAGACCTAAGCCTGAGACAGAGTTTCAAAATGCTTAGCCCATGGCTTAACTCAAAATAAATCAGGCAAGTGTCAATTCATACTGTACTTATCAATGGAGTTGGTAATTATCAAAAGAAAGTACTAACCCATTATGGATATACTGTATTTCAATGTCTATGTCACATAATAGTCAGGAATCCCTTAAGATCATTCAGGATGACAATACAGGAGCAGAAAGACATAATGTGATTGGTATTAAAAGCAATTACATTCACAGCTGGTTTTATTGAGACGTGGCATATAGGGACAGTAGGATAAGTGCAATTCTGACAGTAAGATGCAGGTCTCTGTTCTATTAAATGCTCACAAATTAATCATGTGTGAATGATACATAGCATAGCCAATTATATTTTCACTTTGTGTGTCAGTGATATTAGTGCAGTCATAAGGACTGTTCACATTTGATGGATATAGTACAGAGAAAATAACTCTGGGTCCCTTCATTCTTTGATCAATTAATGCCAGGAAAGATAATCCAGAAATGAAGATGCAACTGGAAACTATATTCAGACACATTCAAATACTGTAACTGGAAACTACACTGCAAAATGAACAATAGAGCAAGAGACACTCTGGTGAGACAAAGTCTCAAGGAAAATGCATGTAACCTAAATTGAACCACCAGGTGGAAGTGAGGGAAGACAACACGGGAAGACATCCTTGTTGTGTAACTGGTACTGCCACCTGGTGGATGTCAGGTGGTTGGTAGCTCAGTAACATGTAGTTACTGAAGAATAAATGCTGTTTTGGTGAACCCAATTATCATTAATGGGGCATAATGATCTGTGTCTACTGTTATGTATTACAGCAGTAGAAGGTATAGTTTGTCTAGTGGTAGATTTAGAATTCTCTCTACTGTCTTCCTTCACAAATTGCATGACAAAGACTATTTGCAAAGCAACTTGTTATGGTGAGGTGAAGGTGACAAAAGTCTGGCATTTGTGCAGTGTCTTGGGTTTACCCTGGCTGTTGACCTGAAGAGCGACTAAGGGAGCCTGCTCAAAAATACAGTACAGGGGATGATATTGACAGTTATGAAACTTTATAAAACAAGAATTCAAATTAAAAATTGAATAAAGAATTACAAAAACATAACCTACTTTGATAGGAACAATAACAAATACCCTAAGTGCAATATTCCTTTTTATTACAGTGCTAGAGAAACTTCCACAGCAAATCTCAATAAGGTACATTGCAGTACTGTACTGCAATGTACTTTACCTTGAGGTTACCTTGAGGTGTTTTCGGGGCTTTGCATCCTCACGGCCCGGTCATCGACCAGGCCTTCCCATGTACATTATATCCTATTTACAGTATTACAGCAAAGTACAATACTGTACTTGAATGATTAAAGCATTTATAAGTTCAATGATGTTATACTAACTTGATTCATGCCAGCATTGACAAAAGCCAAGGTTGGGTCATTCCAAGGTACCACCGGACTTGAACGAACATGGTGATGATCACGGCCCTTAAAGTATTCAATAAACGTGTTTCTCACTCTGTGAGAAGACCAGTGTAGGCAGCAAGCACCCCGAAGGTCTAGAGGTACCACCAGCTTCAACAGGTTCATCCTCCGTATCATCTGTTGTGTCAAGTCAACTGTAATTGTGCATACTGTGTATATGTATATGTGTATATATATATATGTCGTATCTAGTAGCCAGAACTCACTTCTCAGCCTACTATGCAAGGCCCGATTTGCCTAATAAGCTAAGTTTTCATGAATTAATTGTTTTTCGACTATCTAACCTACCTAACCTAACCTAACTTTTTTGGCTACCTAACCCAACCTAACCTATAAAGATAGGTTAGGTTAGGTTAGGTAGGGTTGGTTAGGTTCGGTCATATATCTACGTTAATTTTAACGCCAATAAAAAAAAAATGACCTCATACATAATGAAATGGGTAGGTTTATCATTTCATAAGAAAAAAATTTGAGAAAATATATTAATTCATGAAAACTTGGCTTATTAGGCAAATCGGGCCTTGTATAGTAGGCTGAGAAGTGCGTTCTGGCTACTAGGTACGACATATATATATATATACAGTATATATATATGTCGTACCTAGTAGCCAGAACTCACTTCTCAGCCTACTATGCAAGGCCCGATTTGCCTAATAAGCCAAGTTTTTATGAATTAATATATTTTCTATAATTTTTTTCTTATGAAATGATAAAGCTGCCCTTTTCACTATGTATGAGGTCAATTTTTTTTTATTGGAGTTAAAATTAACGTAGATATATGACCGAACCTAACCAACCCTACCTAACCTAACCTAACCTATCTTTATAGGTAAGGTTAGGTTAGGTAGCCAAAAAAAGATAGGTTAGGTAGGTTAGGTAGACGAAAAAACATTAATTCATGAAAACTTGGCTTATTAGGCAAATCGGGCCTTGAATAGTAGGCCAAAAAGTGAGTTCTGGCTACTAGGTACGACATATATATATATATATATATATATATATATATATATATATATATATATATATATATATATATATATATATATATATATATATATATATATATATATATATACTGTATATATATATATATATATGTCGTACCTAGTAGCCAGAACTCACTTTTTGGCCTACTATTCAAGGCCCGATTTGCCTAATAAGCCAAGTTTTCCTGAATTAATATATTTTTTCTAATTTTTTTCTTATGAAATGATAAAGCTACCCATTTCATTATGTATGAGGTCAATTTTTTTTTATTGGAGTTAAAATTAACGTAGATATATGACCGAACCTAACCAACCCTACCTAACCTAACCTATCTTTATAGGTTAGGTTTGGTTAGGTAGCCGAAAAAGTTAGGTTAGGTAGGTTAGGTAGTCGAAAAACAATTAATTCATGAAAACTTGGCTTACTAGGCAAATTTGGCCTTGCATAGTAGGCTGAGAAGTGAGTTCTGGCTACTAGGTACGACATTATATATATATATATATATATATATATATATGTCGTACCTAGTAGCCAGAACTCACTTCTCAGCCTACTATGCAAGGCCAAATTTGCCTAGTAAGCCAAGTTTTCATGAATTAATTGTTTTTCGACTACCTAACCTACCTAACCTAACTTTTTCGGCTACCTAACCAAACCTAACCTATAAAGATAGGTTAGGTTAGGTTAGGTAGGGTTGGTTAGGTTCGGTCATATATCTACGTTAATTTTAACTCCAATAAAAAAAAATTGGCCTCATACATAATGAAATGGGTAGCTTTATCATTTCATAAGAAAAAAATTAGAAAAAATATATTAATTCAGGAAAACTTGGCTTATTAGGCAAATCGGGCCTTGAATAGTAGGCCAAAAAGTGAGTTCTGGCTACTAGGTACGACATATATATATATATATATAGTATATATATATATATATATATATATATATATATATATATATATATATATATATATATATATATATATATATATATATATATATATATATATATATATATGTCGTACCTAGTAGCCAGAACTCACTTTTTGGCCTACTATTCAAGGCCCGATTTGCCTAATAAGCCAAGTTTTCATGAATTAATTGTTTTTCGACTACCTAACCTACCTAACCTAACCTAACCTAACTTTTTCGGCTACCTAACCAAACCTAACCTATAAAGATAGGTTAGGTTAGGTTAGGTAGGGTTGGTTAGGTTCGGTCATATATCTACGTTAATTTTAACTCCAATAAAAAAAAATGACCTCATACATAATGAAATGGGTAGCTTTATCATTTCATAAGAAAAAAATTAGAAAAAATATACTAATTCAGGAAAACTTGGCTTATTAGGCCTTGAATAGTAGGCCTTGAATAGTAGGTACCATATATGAGTTCTATATATAGGTATATATATATATATATATATATATATATATATATATATATATATATATGTCGTACCTAGTAGCCAGAACGCACTTCTCAGCCTACTATACAAGGCCCGATTTGCCTAATAAGCCAAGTTTTCATGAATTAATATATTTTCTCAAATTTTTTTCTTATGAAATGATAAACCTACCCATTTCATTATGTATGAGGTCATTTTTTTTTTATTGGCGTTAAAATTAACGTAGATATATGACCAAACCTAACCAACCCTACCTAACCTAACCTAACCTATCTCCATAGGTTAGGTTCAGTTAGGTAGCCAAAAAAGTTAGGTTAGGTTAGGTTAGGTAGGTTAGGTTGTCAAAAAAACATTAATTCATGAAAACTTGGCTTATTAGGCAAATCGGGCCTTGCATAGTAGGCTGAGACGTGCGTTCTGGCTACTAGGTACGACATATATATATATATATATATATATATATATATATATATATATATATGTCGTACCTAGTAGCCAGAACGCACTTCTCAGCCTACTATGCAAGGCCCGATTTGCCTAATAAGCCAAGTTTTCATGAATTAATTGTTTTTCGACTACCTAACCTACCTAACCTAACCTAACCTTACTTTTTCGGCTACCTAACCAAACCTAACCTATAAAGATAGGTTAGGTTAGGTTAGGTTGGGTTGGTTAGGTTTGGTCATATATCTACGTTAATTTTAACTCCAATAAAAAAAAATTGACCTCATACATAATGAAATGGGTAGCTTTATCATTTCATAAGAAAAAAATTAGAAAAAATTTATTAATTCAGGAAAACTTGTCTTATTAGGCAAATCGGGCCATGCATAGTAGGCCAAAAAGTGAGTTCTGGCTACTAGGTACGACATATATATATAAATATATATATATATATATATGTCGTACCTAGTAGCCAGAACGCACTTCTCAGCCTACTATGCAAGGCCCGATATGGCTAATAAGCCAAATTTTCCTGAATTAATATATTTTCTCTAATTTTTTTCTTATAAAATGATAAAGCTACCCATTTCATTATGTATGAGGTCAATTTTTTTTTATTGGAGTTAAAATTAACGTAGATATATGACCGAACCTAACCAACCCTACCTAACCTAACCTAACCTATCTTTATAGGTAAGGTTAGGTTAGGTAGCCAAAAAAGCTAGGTTAGGTTAGGTTAGGTAGGTTAGGTAGACGAAAAAACATTAATTCATGAAAACTTGGCTTATTAGGCAAATCGGGCCTTGCATAGTAGGCTGAGAAGTGAGTTCTGGCTACTAGGTACGACATATATATATATATATATATATATATATATATATATATATATATATATATATATATATATATATATATATATATATATGTCGTACCTAGTAGCCAGAACTCACTTTTTGGCCTACTATTCAAGGCCCGATTTGCCTAATAAGCCAAGTTTTCCTGAATTAATATATTTTTTCTAATTTTTTTCTTATGAAATGATAAAACTACCCATTTCATTATGTATGAGGTCAATTTTTTTTATTGGAGTTAAAATTAACGTAGATATATGATCGAACCTAACCAACCCTACCTAACCTAACCTAACCTATCTTTATAGGTTAGGTTAGGTTAGGTAGCCGAAAATGTTAGGTTAGGTTAGGTTAGGTAGGTTATGTTGTCGAAAAACAAATAATTAATGAAAACTTGGCTTATTAGGCAAATCGGGCCTTGCATAGTAGGCTGAGAAGTGCATTCTGGCTACTAGGTACGACATATATATATATATATATATGTCGTACCTAGTAGCCAGAACGCACTTCTCGGCCTACTATGCAAGGCCCGATTTGCCTAATAAGCCGAGTTTTCCTGAATTAATATATTTTCTCTAATTTTTTTCTTATGAAATGATAAAGCTACCCATTTCATCATGTATGAGGTCAATTTTTTTTTATTGGAGTTAAAATTAACATAGATATATGACCGAACCTAACCAACCCCACCTAACCTAACCTAACCTATCTTTATAGGTTAGGTTAGGTAGCCGAAAAAGTTAGGTTAGGTAGTCGAAAAACAATTAATTCAGGAAAACTTGGCTTATTAGGCAAATCAGGCCTTGCATAGTAGGCTGAGAAGTGCGTTCTGGCTACTAGGTACGACATATATATATATATATATATATATATATATATATATATATATATATATATATATATATATATATATATATATATATATATATATATACTGTACAGGTATACAGTACAATGTATTGTATATACTAAATATACACCTAGATATAATGCAAAATGTTATGTTGATCTAGATAGACTGTTGATCTTAAGAAAGGTTTTATGTTTAAACACTAAAACATGCACATTCAACTTCTATGGCACTTTATTGTTTAATTTTATAAGCTATTATAGTAAGTCCAAGAAATAGATGCAGTAATTAATATTTCAAGAAAACACTGATTACAGCTAAGCACAACAAATTAAGCACTGAATTAATCTCTTGTATGTATGTACTTTACCTAAATAAACATTTATTTATTTTATTATTATTTTAAATGAAAGGGCCTTTACTGGTGCTCCCCCCACCCCCACTCCACCCCAATTGCTCCTGAGCTTAACTCTGGTACCATAAAGCCTTAGCCCAACACACCAACCAAGCCTATGGAACCCATTCATCACCCACCAGGACTATAACTTAGCTCACTTTTCAAAGTGAGGGTAGCTGGGAA